CCCCCACTTTTCCGTCAGATCTTCACATTCTCTCTCTCTCTCTCTCTCTCTCTCTCTCTCTCTCTCTCTCTCTCTCTCTCTCCCCTCTCCCCCCAGTAAGAAAGAGAAGCTTGATTTTGACATCAAAGAAGTCAGGGAAATAGGTCACGATCCAGACTGGGAGGAGCCTGTGAACATCAGCAGGTGCTGAGCAAGGCTGGCCACCTGTGCACAAAGCCAGGTCCACATGTGCAGATAGACAGTGCACACAGACCTGTGCACACAAAGACATGGTCAAAAGTGACATGCCACCGAGACACAAGCACATGCTCACAGATACAGATGCACAGAATGCATGTACAAATGCACCTTCCCATAAGTACACAGAACTCCCACGTATGTGCACATACAGAAATGGACATGTGCATACCCGTCCACAGTTGCATACTGTGGGCACTGTTGCATATACTGTCTGTACCCCGTGCATGACTCTGTGCACACAACTCCTGCAGCTCAGGGAGAGGGATGCATGTGGCATATATAGTCAGTCACTCCTCCCTTGCCTAATTCTGACCTTGGGAAACAAACAGGGACAGAGGATCTGATGGAGTTGGCTGAACATCTCCTTGTTCTTTGGAGGTGCTGAGGTTTGGGGACCAGGCCTGGTCTCTACCTGCTCTAGTGAAGAATGTGAAGAGTCTGCCAGTACCTGCCATGTGCAGTGTATGGGGTGAAGACACAGGGGCTGTGGTAGCCCTGAGCCTCTAAGGGTGGGGAGGAGGCACAGGTGAGGTATGGCAGCTCACCTCTTGGCTGTCCTGTCCTAAGGAGGCCCAGCAAACTCCTGCCCAGAACCAGCACCTCAGATTTGATCGTTAGCACAGAGCCTACTCCTGAGCCAAGGCTCCCTTGGGTGCCTGTGAAAGATGCTGCTGCCCCACTTTGGCAGTCGGTATGAGTTACTGCCTCCCTGCCCAACCTGGCAGGGAATGGAGTCTGACAGCTCAGCTAGGCTCAGGAAAAAGGGAAATCAAGGAGCTGTGATAGAGGCCTTTCCTGAGGATTCTGCTACAAACAACAGTAAACTTGCTCCAAAGACACCAGACAAAGGAAATTTCTAGCTTTGTTAACTTCAGGTCTGGCTGGATCCAGTTACTCACAGCTTACACTTTGTGTGCCTCGTTGGCTCTACTCTTGGGTACTCTCTTTCCCTGTGCCATTTTGTACATTGGGAAACAGAGGCTCAGGGCTCTTTATCTTAACAGCCAACAGGAGGTAGAGTGGGGATCTGAACTAAGGCCCCCATGTGTGTAGACTTTTCTTCTTTCTCTGAGAAGCATACATACCCACCTCTTTGCCCTGAGCTGGTGATGGGAGTATGCCAAGGCCCTAGCCTTGACTCAGAAGCAAACAGGTGCAGGAGATGCTGGGAAAGTTGGTGATGGGCAGTGTGTCTCGTCTATTCACCAGTCCTGGCACTTCCCTGTCCCAGGTACCAGGAGCTGTGGAGGCTCAGGGAACTCAGTCTGGACAGGATTGCTTTTTCAGGGGAGGGGTGGGGCTGGGAGGAGGAGGCAGAGGCTTCACAGGGCTTGACCCTTGATTATTCCTGTATTGAGGGGGCACTTTTGATGCAGTGGGAAGGACATGCAGGGGCCCAGGAGGATTACCCTCTGTTCTGGGGAGGTGGCAGACACAGGCCAGGCCCACTTATTGATAGGGCAGCACAATTTACTCTCAGGACCAACCATAGGTTAATGAGGAGCCAGCAAAACTTACAGGTGAATGTGTGGCTGAGGCCACGTGGGCAGGTCCAGGGCTAAGAGCACAGTTACAGGTCACAGGAGACCATCTTTGAGGGTAGCCTCTACACAGCCTCAGCACGCCAGACCACTCCAGAATGGAACTGTTCCTGCTGGGTGCCAAGACCTCAAGCTGAACTGAACGGGCCAGTTTTCTAGGTGCAGGAACCCCACCATGGCCAATCAGAATGGTGAGTGCACTGTGCTATGTGCTAAGGATGACCCCTCTCCTCTGTTGGGTTTTTGCTTTCTCCAGCACTTCTAAAAATTTTTTTTTTAAATTTTATGTTTATGTCCGTATTGCCTGCATGTAGGTAAGTGCATCCGTGTCGTGCAATGCCCATGGAGGTCAGAAGAGGCTGTCAGATCCCCTGGAACTGGAGTTATGGACAGTTGTTAGTGGCCATGTGGTTTCTGGGATTTGAACCCGGGTCTTCTGCAAGAACCAGTGTTCTTAACCACTAAGCCATCTCTCCAGCCCCTCTCCAGAACTTTCTATGAAGTCTGCTTGCTTCCTGTCATCATCATTTCACAGAGAGGTACTTTTTAGTTTTAGAATGACAACTGAAAGTCACCCTCCACATTTGCTATGATTCTGTGGCCAGCAGTGGGGAAAAGGGACAGGGAAGCCAGGCAGCCAGGCAGAGGCTCTGAGCATAGGGCACAAGGAGGGGAGAGTAGCCTGGGGTTCTAAGCACATCCTGCAGAGAGCCTCCTGGCCTAGAGGCCTGCACCCCTGACCTTTGCTGGAGAAGGGGGTTCCCCAGGCTGTCCCAGGAGACTAGCTTCCCAACTCTGCTTTTTTGCCACAAGATTCACCCAGGCTTTGTGGTCTGGGTCAGCGATTCAGCCACCTGTGGGCAGCAGGGCATTTGTCAGGTTGCTCCTGGCTCCATTCTGAGGGCCCTCTGCAGACAGGCCCTGGCTGAGGCTGGCCAGTGCTACCATTTCCAGAGAAGTGACTCAGTGAAGCTCCAAGCCTGGGCAGCCTTCCCTCTCCCTTCCCTCTCTCCTTCCTCTCCCTCTTTCCCCCTTCCTTTTCCCTCCGGCTGCTTGCTCTGGTACTGTACCAGGGCACCTGGATGTGAAGCTGTAGGCCAAGGGTGAGGGGGAGTGTGTCTCCTGGGGCTCCTGCTCAGTTAGCTAGAGTCTGAGACCAGGGCCAGTCAGGAGAGGTACTTGGATGCAGTTGTGAGGCCCAGCACTGCTGGACAGGGGAGCAAGACCCTCAGGGACAGCAGCTGCCTGATGATCTGCCAATGTCTACAGACCTGTGAGCAAGCCAAGCATAGGGATGCTGAGTGGGCCCAGGACAAAAGCTCCACTCAGCAGTGCTGGGAATCACACATGATGATTCTGTTCACACCAGATCTGGGGGTGGCCTGTTTCCCAACAGAGTGAGCTGGCATAGGCTTGTGCAGTGTCTAGCCCACAGGTATGCATGCACCTGGCAGTGTTTCTGCTGCCCAGCCCTGAAGTATAACTGGGCTTAGAGAGTAGGAGGGTGTCTGGAAGTTTCTCCTGTGGGATTTCCATGCCAGAAAACACCTAGCAGCCAGGCGTCTGAGGGAGTCTCAGAAAGGATCACTGTTCCTGGATGGAGGACAGCTCTGGTGTCACTTATGGTCAATAGACCTGTCATCTCTCTCATCCCAGCAGGCCATTACCTCCATGCAGGGCTCAAGACAGGGTACCCTTTGGCCTCCCTGGCCACTACCCTCCTATGCACTGAATCACCCAGAACACCTCAGGAGGATACCATGGCTGCCTCTCCTGCCGCTACTCCCAGTGTGGGCAGATAAGACTATCTGGCCAGATGGTGGGTGGCTCCTGAGTGTCAACCCTCTCTTGGGCTTCGGGAGAGAAGCAAAGGGATGAGCAGAGATGTCTGTGCTGCAAAGCTTGAGCCTGTAGCACAGTAAACTTGAATAGGAAACCCAATATCACCAGCAGAGTGGTCAGGGGATCCCAAGCTCCATCTTAACTCCTGCTCTGGCACGGTGCAAGTTGCAATAAGGTTCTGGTGCTTGGTGTGTAGCCATGGGGGTAGGGAGGGAACTGGATGGCCACTGTTTAGACCCAGCCCTAGCCTGCTCACCCCAGATCTCAATCCTGTACTACAGTGGTGCCCATCTGGAAATGGCCCTGCCTCTTCCTGCTCCTTCAGATGTAAAGTCTACATCTGACAGTTGGAGTGTGGCAGCCTTGTCCTGCTGGTCTGTGCACACCATGGTGCTCTGCCTTAGCCTGCCTGCTCCTGTGAAAATGACATGGCTCCAGGAGCCTGAATAGTACCAGCCCCTGCTTGAGGCCTGGGTCTCCCAGCCCTGTCACCCCTTCTCCCTCATTTTGTTCTTCTCCCAAGATTCTTGCCCCCTTGAATGCAGACCATACTACCCTTCCCACCTGGGGCCCACTCCTCACAGTCTCTGTTCTGTCCTGTAATCATCCACTGGCTTTCCTATGTAAGTGCAAACAGAAGGTCCTTCTAGAAGGAGCTCCCATCCTGAGAAAGAACAGCTTCTTTTTCATTTGTCTCATACTTGATTCATGGTAGCCTTTATACCCCTGTGTAGTTATGGGTTTCTGTGCTGTTCCCCTGTCAGGCTGGGTACTCCCTGAGGGTAGCAGCCTGTCCTGTGGGGCTCTGCATCACTGGTGACCAACAGAAGTCTGGACACAGAGTCAACAGCAGTGATTGGGTGCCAGTGAGTGAATAACTGCAAACAAAGACATCTGCTTTATTTGTTCTCGGACAGTAGCACATACTGTTTGCTAAGCACAAGGTGGCCCCACGCTCAGTGGCATATGGGTGCCCAGCTGGAGATGGTAGGGCACAGGAGCTGTGGCCTGAGGTCTGTGGTTCCATGATCGATTCCTCCTTCAAAGCTCCAGGAAGGATAATGCTCCTCAGCCCTTCAAAGACAACAGCCAGAGTTCAGTTGCGCCGCCTCTGCCCCGTCATGGCCCAGGCTGGGGCTACATGAGGCCTCAGCCCCATGTACTCAGGACTCTTTCAGTCTACCTGGGACAGTGGCCATTTCCCTGGAGCAGGACTTAGCTGGCCTGAAACCTGTACTGAGTCTCTTCTCGGTGCTCAGCAGGACACAGGCCTCCACCTGACACATTCTGCAGAAATACCAGTCAATACCACCCCTCCAACCCCAGAGCTAGCACAGAGGCAAGAGCCCAATTCTCTCCACTCTCACAATGGCATGTCTGACACCCCCCACCCCCTGGGTCTAGTGAAGTCTTACAAGATATACTGGGAGAGGACACCTACACAATCTGTTGTGGGGTGCTCTGTCCTTGCCTCAGATGCCCTGCATGTCCACAGCAGGTTCGCAGCTCTGAGCCTGGAGGGTCCCCACAGGTATCTGAGCTGTCCTAGGAATGCCTCAGCCTCCTTACTTCTGGAAGCTAATCTTTTTGGGAATCCTTCACTCCTGTCCCACTAGAGCTTCATTCAACTGTCTACCTTTAGCATCACATTTTTCATTGTTTTGTTTCAATGAAATGAAGATCCACTGCTGGGATTCCCTGAGGAGCACAGAGCTATTGACACAGGGTAGATGGAAGGAAGATGGAGGCCAGGGCTTGGGAGAAGCCTCTACTACAAAGCCCCATGGCATAGCATGGTGGCCTTCCCCTCAGAGAAGGGTTAGGCTCTGGGTAAGCCACTGGCTCATCAGAAAGAGGACAGGATTCTGGAAAGCCTATTCCTTTAGAGGAGCCCTGGTCATAGCATGGGCCTGGCCTTTGGTTTTTGGTTAACTCTGACCCCAAGCACACAACTCCGTGTTCTTTGTTGGGGAGGGGCCCAGTTCATGTCTCCAAGGGCCACAGGGGCATCATAGCCACCTACCCTGTACACAGTATCTGCTGGGCTCTGTTCTGGTCTCTCAGAGACAACAGTGCTGGTATGGGCAGCCCAGGTCAGGGCAGTCAGTTCTGGCAGGGAACATAAGTGGGGCAGAGCCCAGCTAGGCACAGCATGTCTGGGAAACTCCTGAGAGAAGCCAAGAGGTAGCTGAGGAAATCTAAGACCTAAATGTAGGGACCTAGACATGGAATGTCTACTGCAGGCATGCTAAGGCAGGAAGGGCTCACCTTGCGGGAAGCACTCACACAGTGTTGGTACGCCTTGACCAGGTCTGAGCACAGCAACACCTCATGCACGTGGTCACGGTAGCAGCGGAGGATCTGGGCTTGTAGGCCTGAGCACACGGGCTCCACTCTGCGGGGCCTATAGGACAACAAGAACAGACAATGGGCATGGAGGGCAAGGGCTCACACTCAACACATGCAGACACTAGGATAAACTCCTGATGTTCATCCACATTCCTTTAGTCCATTCTGCAAATAGGAGGAATGTGGCAGGGTCTGCTCTCATGGTTAGTGGCAGATACTGTGTGGACTAGGGTCTAGGGCCATGTGCTGGCAGCTGCTACCTTGAGTCCCAAGTGCCCCCAGGGTGTGTGAAGGGCCTGGTGGGTAGAGGCCTCAACTGGAGCCCACACTAGACAGCCCTCCCTGCTGGGTCAGGCACTTCTGGGCCATGGATGACCTGAGGCCATAGGCCATGTGACTCAGGCACACATTTTCCCACATGAAATCTTGTTCTGATGTTCTGATTATATACATGAGTACACAGGAACCAAGAAACCCCCAGAAATGTTCAAAAGAATAAAAATAGAATGTTCTGAGTCACATTTCTTAGAGATAACTGTGGTAATACTTTAAGGTACTTTATGATCTTTTCTTCCTTAATCAAAATAGTTTTACAACAAATGAATATGCTGATATTTTATAACTGTGAAACAAAACAAATTATAAAAAAATACAAAATACAAATTAGGCTAGAATAGATGTCTCCCACCCTCCCTGTGGCCACCTCTGGGCTGCTGGTCTCTTCTTGACTCCTTTCCACATCCCCTTACTATCCTTCCTTCTTCCTCCCTCATAGTACACATACTCTGTCCACTGACTCTTACACACAGGATCCACACATACTCCTCCCATGCTCACACAGACACCCATTCTCACCCTTCCCATGCACTCAGGCTCACATCCCTCCTACACACACACACACACACACACACACACACACACACACACAAACACACACACTCACACACTGCTCTCCCCCCCACATTCACACAGTCCTCTCCCATTCTCTCTCTCTCTCACACACACACACACACATACACACACACACACACTGCTCTCCCCCCCATATTCACACAGTCCTCTCCCATTCTCTCTCTCTCTCTCTCTCTCTCTCTCTCTCACACACACACACACACACACACACAATCCACACACTGCTCTCCCCCCACATTCACAGTCCTCTCCCATTCTCTCTCTCTCTCTCTCTCTCTCACACACACACACACACAATCCACACACACTCCACCCCTCCTATATTCACACACAGTCCTCCTCTCCCACATCCACACAGTCCTCCCCTCCCACATTTACACACTCACACACTCTTCTTCCACATTCACACACAGTCCTCCCCCACATCCACATACTTCCCCTACATCTACACAGTCCTCCCCCCACATTCACATACTTCCCCCACATCTATAAGCACAGTCCTCCCCCCATGCCTATACCCACTCCCCCCATATCCATCCACATACTCCCCCCCGCCACTCCGCCCACATCCACACACTCCTACACATTGTCCCATAGTCCCTCTTTCACATGTTCATTCACTCTCATACACTCCTACACTTACTCACACCCTCCCACACTCCCCCACCAACACAGCAGCTCACACAGCAGCACAGGGTGAAGACACACCCCCTCATGGCTCTTTCTGTGGCACAGACTATTCTGCACCTCTTTGCACACGAGGAAACTGGGGAATGAAGAAGTTCTGTCACACATCTAGGATGGAGGTCTATTTATTGGGATTGTTGTAGTGGTGCTGCCCACCCAGCAGCTTTCCAAATGGGTTTTCCAAGCACACCCAGGTTCATAGCATGAGTATTAGACTTGCAGTCATACTTGACAGTCTTTTAGAATTCACCACTACTCTCTGCCCAGGTATCAATGGGAGTTGTAAAACTGTCTGAGCCATTCTTCAAGTTTCTTGGCAGTAAAAAAGATCACTATTCTGCAAACTCTATTCTAGGGCAGCCTGCCATTCTCCTGCCCAGCACCCCTGTATTTAGAACATCTAGCCATGCAGCAGATACCAGAAGGTATCACTGTTATTTTAAGATAACTCAACCAAACCAAAATCATCAGTTAGGAAGAGCAAGCAGCAGTCATCAGCAGCTTAGGAAATAAGTCCTTGTGTCTCATGCTTATGTTTGGGGTCTGGACAGGAACTTTTAGTACTCTGCCTCATGACACTGCCTGGGGGTAATCCTTCCTTCTACACTAGCCCCAGGCCACTGTCTTCACATACTGTCCACTCTGCAAACTCAACTACCTCATTTAATCAGGCTCTGTCCTTTCTGGAAACCTTATTCCAGAGTTCACCTTTCCCTGTTGGGCAGAATTTGGTCACAGGCCTATTGTTAAGACACTCACTAGCAAAGGATCTCACATTTACCTGAGACAGTAAGAGTCACCCAAGATCTATACAAGATGGGGTGGAAGGCTGGCTGGATAGTCACACCAAGCTGGCAAGTCACAATGTAACAGATGTGATGAAGAGCCTTCCTGTGCTCACAGCTGGGCCTAGTACTGCCCAGGGGTTCTCCTTTCAATGAGCTCCAGTGAGGTCACAGCTGTGGTCATACACTGACATACAGGACCAAGCCTGGAGGGCACATGGGGGCTTTGCCTTTGTATTGCATTAACCTCCCATCCTCAGACACACAAGGCAGAGGTGCCCCCTGAATGTATCCTTTTTTCCTGGGCATCTGGAGGGTCTCCTACCTCCGATTCTATCTGCTGTGCAGAGGCACCTGTGGTATTGCGGGCCACCTCTTTTATAACTACCCAAGTGCTGGTAGAGTAGCTGCCTTTGTACTTTGGGCACAGAGGCATCTGGCCATGGTCCTTTTGGAGTAGTATGGCTTTGGAGGACAGAGCTCTCAATGGCATCCTGTCTCAGGTAAGTGCTCTGTGAGCAGGCTTCAGTCCAACTGCTCTGAACTCCCTGAGGATACACCCCCATCCTACTGCCTTACCTCCAGGCTCTGTTCTCTGGCTCCCATCTGAGAAGATGTAGCACTACTCTCTGTATAGAGTTAACCCTGCAGTATGGTGCCTTTGATTGCCAGTCTCCCTCAGCCATGTTTGATAGCATGTGTTGCTGTCCCCATACCAGGTCTTGTGCTCCTTACATATAGCCTCTGTGGTTGTTTGAATGAAAATGTCCCCCATAGGCTCCAAGTGTTTGGACATTTTGTCCCCAGATGATGGCACTGTTTTGGGAGGTTCTAGATGGTGTGGCTATCCTGGAGGAAGCACATCACTGCAGGTGGGCTTAGAGAGCTCTTAAGCCTTGCCAGATCTCCAGTCACCTCTTGCTTCCTTCCTGTGCCTGCATGATGATGTGAGAGCTTCACTTATGCTGCTCCTGCTCCAACCACCTCCAGCCCCCATGCCTCCCTGCCATGATGGACTGTAATTCCCCTGGAACTGTAAGCTCAAATAAACTCTTCCTTCTATAAATTGCTTGGGTCAGTGTTTCTATCACAGCAACAGAAAAGTGACTAATACAGCCTCTCTCACAAACCTCCAGGGTACAGGCCCTATCTTAAACACCATGCCCCAATCCCCCATGTGACCTCTGAGCGGTACTTGGCAGACACCAGGTGGGGGCTAGTAGCTGAGGCTGTCCCAAGCTCTAAGTGGTATGAGGCTTACTGCCTTCATTGAGAAAGCACCCTTGGCAGGCCCATGGGGCCCAGGGGCTCAGCCTGAGGCATCTGGGAACCAGAGCTCTAACCTAGTCTTCCCTTCCACACAGGCACATATTCTGCAGAGTTGCAAGTGGGCAGAGAAGGTGCTTCATCACCAGCCCTCTTCCCCATGGCTAGTAGGGCTGTCCCATCCTCTCACTGATGTCTCCTCACTTGCCTTCAGGTGCTGACATGAGAGCCCCTGTGAGCTGAGGGCAAACCTCATGGAACGTCCAGTGGGTTCCCAGGCAGGGAGAAACTGGGTTATGTGAAATTGATCCCCTGTGTAGCAGTGCCACTGCTGGGGCCGTAGTGGCTCTCCTCAGGGACTTCAGCACAGAAGGAGCA